AGCTTCTATTTGTTTCGGGAGAAAATTACATTCTAAGCTTAAAATTCAACCTTCTCTTTTTCACTTGCTTTAATGCACTTCTAGATAGGATCAAACCTGTCTCCGATCAACGCTCTGTGGCGGAATGGCTCACCTATCCGATTCAAGGTGTCCAATTCTCATTCGGATTAATGTAGAAAATAATTTCGTTTATGTTGTTTCGGGTCTAGGTGTTGTAGACCTTCGTTGCTTTTAGGCTTCCATAATCAAATTTTCAGCAAAATCCTTGCTTATGCGATGAAAAAGCTGCCTAATTTGATTTATTTATCACAAAGTTGAAACTTTGGCGTCATGTGTGCGATATTTTATCCCACAGGATTCGTCCGCAAGAGCTTATTAATGTCCTTGTTAACTCTGTTTCCGAATCATATGAACTCCGCCCAACTTCGGACACTAACGTTAACTTCCAAATTAGTAACTTGTGCCTTTAGAATACGAGAAGCTTTACACATACTAACAGTTACAAAGAGAAATAAATATGTTATTTTGCATGGCAACGAATGCCTTCCTCTCAACTGAAACTCTTCAGCACTGGACGTATTAAAGAAATTTCATGACAATATACTATATCGTAATAACTATTTTAAAATCGGAAAACACAACTAGAATGGTATCTTTTTGTTTTATACGTGTAATATTCGTAGTTCCAAAATACTACATAATTTAAATAGCTCTTAAAAAGTGTAACAATAACTTACACCTTGAAAAATATTTAAGTTTTTTCTATCTGATTTGTATAAAAACGTGGCCAATAATATTTTAAAGACACTTCGTGCAGTTTTAAAGCACAGAGGTTTAAATTGCACTGTTTGTATTTTCTTTCTTGTGAGAGTTGTGAGAATATTCTTTAATTTGTTTTATTGTTATCATTAGACCTTGAATAGCTTTTCTAATTGGCACGATACTATTGTAGACTTTTTCTTTACTATGTAAACAACATAATAAAGCTGCATAGTAAAATTTAGTTCACTAATTTTTTTTCCGCAGATTGGTGTAAAAAAGTCAATAATAATATTAATATTTATCAGACCACAACAAAATACATGATTTTCGTTATACTTAAGCTTATCATATACTGTACCTAATTAGTTTGCATCTGCTGCTGAACTAAGTTAATACTCGTCTTTCAGCATACAGCGCCTCAAAACCTCAAATTCTTGGAATTATTAAGTATATATTAAGCAGATAAGCAACACTGAAATTTGTTTCTTATATTTGGCACAAACTTTACCTAACCTATAAGTGTTTTCCTCTCGGTGAGTAGAATGATAATGACTGAGTGCGTGTGAGAGGGTGAGTAAGTTGAGTAGTGAATTATAAAACTTAAAATTCCAAACACCATAAACAAATTTACCGCGAGAAACAGTTACCATTACACTAATCAGTCTCGGAGAGCGAAAAGCGTACCTCTATAATACGGCAACACTGTACAATCGGTGAGAAAGCCATTTGACCACTCTGTATATAACCGCTGGCCAGTTTAAGAGGTCAGAGATATAGAGGGTTATTTATCAGGTCATCAAGTTTATTAAATTTTCAGTTTCATCATAACTGATTTTTTTTATCCAACATGATATTATTCTTTTCACCTCATTTTTATTTAACGGGTAAATGTTATGTATTTTATTATACATAAATGGGCCTAAAAATAGAAAAAGTTCCGAATAAAAGTAGTTCTCGGTTTATGCACCTGTCTACAAACCGCAAAATATCAAAAGACAGATAGTTAGAGTTATATTCCAACAAAGTATGTTGTTTTAAAGTTATATTAAGTAAGTAAATTTGGCGCACAGACATTACATCACAGTATTCATATAGAAGCTTTGTGGGATAAAAGAAAGGCTTAAACGCACAAAATTTTAGTACAGCTCTTTGCGCTACCTCCAACAATCTCAGTGTAGTCTTCGGTACACCACCCCAGGATGTTATGCAATATGTGAGCAAGGACTGGCATAGAGCGAAATCGATATTTTTTAGAGACTCCGCTGGAACAACTTGTCTTAGTGTCTTAAATAGATACATTAATTTCCGAACTCTTTTTGACAAAGCCAGAATATGCTGTTTGAAGAAGTGATCATCGATTACAACGCCTAAATATTTGATAGATTCGACGCGTTCTATGGTTTTACGTTGACACTCATAACGAGAAGCTGTTAATGTGCAATTATGTGAAAATAAATTTTGAGAGTATGACTGATCTCGTGTGGAAAAAGCTATATATTTGGTTTTTTCGATGTGATAATGGCTGGACTATATTTCTTAGTCTTATCGAATTTGGTAGCAGTCTGAATTTGATATAATACATTTTTGGTCACTGAAAGTGATGTGGAGTATTTATTTAACCTTTATAAGGTCTTCGGGTCAAATTTGACCCATTTTGCGAAAAAAAAATTTTTTTCTTAAGAAATAAGACTTTTTAGATATTGATATTCTATGACTTTTATTTAATCACTGAAACAAGCTTATTTTCAATAAAATTAAAATATATATGTATATGTTAATATGCTTTTTTAACTTTTTTACTCTAACGGTCTTCGGGTCAGATTTGACCATGCTTAGAATTGAGGTGGGTAGTTACATTTGTTTATAAGATCGTATGTCATGGGACATTATTATGTTATACCGACAATGTGACTAATAAATAAACGCCGGTGCGATAAATGTTAGTTGAACAAAGCGTATTCATTAGCTCGCAGTCGTAGAACAATATCGTGCCTGTAAAAATGAGAGACAGTGAAATAGAATCGATGTTACATGCATCAGATAACGAAGAATCTTGTTCTGAAATAGAAGATAATGTCGAAGAAGCTGAACAGTCTGATAGCTCGATCAGTGATAGTGAAGTGAATTCGCCTGTTCAAACAATGTCTTCAAAAGACGGAAGAATAAAATACTCTAAGGAACCAATTCGGCAATCTCACGGAAGAGCATCTAGAGAAAACATTATTAGCTTGATGCCAGGATTGACACGTTACTCTTGCTCAAGGATTACCGCTGAGGAAATATCCAGTTTTCAGTTATTTTTTCCTCCCCCTTTATTACATACTATTTTGAAATATACTAATTTGGAGGGTAAGCGTGTTTTCGCTGACGATTGGAATGATATTGACAGTACTGATTTATTTGCATTTATTGGACTGATATTGCTAGCTGGAGTTTTTCGTTCATGTAACGAAAGCACTGAAAGTTTATGGGATACTGAAAAAGGAAGACCCCTTTTCGCGGCAGTCATGCCAATAAAAACATTCAAGAAATTATCGAGAGTAATAAGGTTTGACAATAGAGAAACGCGATCTGCACGGCGATTAGTGGATAAGTTTACTCCTATTCGAGAGTTGTGGAATCAGTGGGTTGATATATTACCTAAATTGTATAATCCTTCTGAAAATGTCACAGTAGACGAGCAGCTCATCGCATTCAGAGGAAGATGCCCTTTCCGGCAATACATGCCATCAAAACCAGCAAAATATGGTATAAAATTTTGGGTTTTATGTGATTCTGCAACAAGTTACGTTTGGAATATCCAACCATACACGGGTAAAGAAATGGGAAGCGCGCCTGAAAAAAATCAAGGTATGCGTGTTGTCCTTGATTTGACACGGGGCTTGAAAGGACATAACCTTACTGTTGATAATTTTTTCACGTCCTATCAACTTGGACAGAAGTTACTAGAAAACCAGATTACTGTAGTTGGTACTATACGCAAAAATAAACCGGAATTACCACCAGAAATATTGGAAACGAAAAGGAGACCTTTGTATTCATCTTATTTTGCATTTACTGAAAATACTACAGTTGTGTCATACATTCCCAAGAAAAATAAATCGGTAAATCTCCTCAGCACTTTGCATCACGGCCCAGAAGTGAGTGATCGTGCAGATAAAAAGCCTGTAATAATATTAGATTACAATAAATGTAAAGGCGGCGTTGACACAATGGACAAAGTTGTCTCCTGCTACACCTGCAAAAGAAAGACAAATAGATGGCCCCAAGTAGTCTTCAGCAACATGGTCGATATATCAGCATATAATGCATTTGTATTATTCACAGCTGCCAATGATAGATGGATGGAAGGGTGTCTAGCAAAACGACGAATATTTTTGGAAAACCTAGGTAAGCAGTTAGTTACACCATATATAAAATCCAGGAAAACCTTACCAAGGGCACCATTTTCTTTAGAAATTGCGAGAAAGATACGTGAAGCTAGTGAAACTGCATCAACTTCAACTCAACACGAAGAAAACAATGTTGTTACTGCTAAGAAAGCTTTCAAAAGAAATCGTTGTCAACTATGTGTAAAAACTGATAATAAAACATCTTTGATCTGTGTAATTTGTAAAAAGTTTATATGTAAACAACATTCAAATACAACTGTTTTATGTACTCGATGTCATAATAATTAATTTAATCATATTTCTTGTTTTGTTCATTTGATTAAAAGCTAAATTGGTAACTTTAATTATTTTAATAAAGTTTTCAAAATTAAATACTTACTTAGTATTGGTAAAAAAGTAATTCATGAATATTGAATATAATTAAAAATATAAATAGAAATATTTCATAAAAAAAGTTTTTGTCATTTTTATACTCATAATATGCATAAATATAGTACCCGGTCAAATTTGACCCGAGGAACGGTAACGTTAGTAATTTTGAAGCCCTTATGAAGGTTAAAATATCGTACAAAACAATAAATACATGAAAGAAATGTGAGAAAGATTGGCAAATAATTTAGGACACTTGGACGTCGCGTCTTGAGCCTGATGTGCACTTTATCTATATGAATATTTTAGATAATAAGATTTTTAACGATTTGCTCAACTTCCACAATCAAACTGAGCGCGATCGACGAGAACATAAAGATAACCGGTCTAGATTCCACACAATGCTCTTACCATAGTGATTGGGGCACTAAGGTTACGATTAAAGGTATGATCTATAAAGTTTTCAACATTTTACAGTATGTATGGAGCGTCAGGCGCAGCACCAAGAGAGGCGCGGGGGCGTGCTCGCGAGCGGCCCGACGTGCTACCTGCGCCGGCGTCGCTCGAGGAGCCCGCTCCGGCACCTATGCCACGCCCTGGCAAGGATAGCGTCGCGCGGCTCACACTCGACGGAATTTCTTATGTTGTTACCGTAAGTACACACACATTTACTGTTTAAATATTGTGAAGTATTGGTAGTATTGTTGCTTTATCATTCCTTTCCTTATACTGAATTTTCCTTCCTATTTAACTATTACCACGAAGACGGAATCATTTCATAATTCATATCTCTCTCAACTTTGGATGTAAAAGCAATTCTTATTAAACATTATCAAAGTATTGGATTTATATCCACTCTCAAATAAAATTATAGGGCGTAACCCATATAAGCTATCCTACTTCAGAATGAGTTGTCATGGCACAGTAGCCATTTTAAGGATTTAAAAGAAGAAGTAATATTTTGGGGATTACGCCCTTTGAGTCTCAATGTATAATTATGTTTCAATATGGCCGTATTTCGACAACTAGAAGACTATTGTAATTACATGAAATTTTTATATTAACATTCGCAGATTGTATTTGTAGCGCAGAGATAAGAAATAAAATTGAAAGATATTGTAGGTAAATTATCTGAGGCATACTTCGGCTCGGGCAATAGAAAAGAATGCCCGTTGAAAGAATGGTGATACTGATAACTAGCATAAGTGGAAATATGTTGAAGCCATGGGAAGACAATGCACATCTTTCACGATTGATTGCGTGTCGTTGAATGGTTATATCAGAATTCATAAAATCCGGGGAGCATCCTTGAAAAGAGTTATTTGTCCTTTTCTGTCGCTGAGAACAATCTTTTGCTAGAGTGAGAAAGATAGCATGTTGCCTATCGCCTCGAGGGTTCCTCGTTGTGCCGTTGTACACCTGATTTGAATGGCAAAACTAGTATAGGGAGATCTTCCGCGCGCTTTGATGCTGTAGAGCCAGTTTTTCAGAGATTTCCATGTGATTTTCGTGAGATTCGCGCCATAAATTTTCAGTTTCGTAATGGCGTGAAATCTGTACATTACTCTAATGTAGGTAAACTAATGAATGCTTCATTTACATTTGAAATTGCTAATGAAATTGATAAAGTAATAACTTAATTAATTGAGCAGCTCGATGGCATAGTGGATAAGCGCCACGGCCCGCGAATATTGTTGTGAAGCAACTTTCGCAAGAGAGGGTTACGAGATGGGTGACCAAAAAATTATTATCTCGAGCTACTTCGTGCAAAGGAAGGTACGGTAAGTTGGTCCCGGCTGCATTTGCAGTCGTTAATACCCTCCAATCCTCATTGGACCAGCGTCATGGCCGATCCTCCTTAACCATCTGTAAGGAAGGTCTTAGACCCTACAGTGGGGACGTAAAAGAGCTGATGATGATGATGAATCTAACTATAATTTCATTTGACTAGTATTGTAATGTAAATTCTGCTTCAAACAAGCGAAAGACATATATGAATCGTGCCTTTTGACGCTCGGTTTTGTCTAACTACTCAGCAAGGGATCTGGTTTATATTATCATCTATAGTATGAGCAATATAATGTAGTACTTATATTTGGATGACAATATTATATGTATATACTATAATTAAATAATGATGCTCTAAGCCTATTAATAAACGACGAATATAGTGAAACAGCAGTATTATTCTTTTCCATATACTGACATCAATATTTATTTATTAGTTTAGCGTTGTGAGTGCAAAAAAGATCAAATAAAGATATACAAAACTGATAATTAACAATGATATTTTCTAGAAATAAAATATGTTCGGGTTCAATGGCGCGGTGGTAGCGTTCCTACTATTACGACGAGAGTCGTGGGTTCGATCCCACCCAGGACAAACATTTTTGTGATTAACAATTTACCTCGGAAACGAATCAAGTGTGTGATGTTGTCCGATATTTATTCCAATATTATTTATATGTTCAACGCTGGATTCGTTCGCTGTAAAATGCAACCTTTGGCTTTGTTTCAAATTATACGCCTGGTCATAAAGTCCACTCTCTTTAAATAGATGCGTTCTGTTTATAGTCTGTACTGTAAATAAAAATTAATAACAATGTTGTTTTGTTTTTTCGTTCGTATTTAAGCCAAGTAGGCTGATTAAACTTTTGCCCGTTTTCATTAAACTTAGGAGTCGCCTAAATATTTAGGAATCGCCTAAAGTAAAATTGAATTCACAATTGCCTAGGCCACCAATTGCCCACCTAACGAAATTAAGTAATGTCTGAAGTTATGATATTCGTTATGCGGCACCTTGCGCTAGGCATTTGTGTATATGACAGGGTATAATAATAGATAAAAGAACAAAAATTTTTTTTTTATTGCGACTTCTAAGTTTAGTAAAAATGGGCAACAATATATAGAATATATGGTACAACGTATTCTACAGTTAAAGTCAGCGTGACGGTTATTGTGAAATTAGACTTTAACAGCTATTATGGTGCAATTCAGTGTGAGTATTTATAAATAATAAAATAACCTAGACATTAGAAAACAAATGAGCAAGGTGTAGCAAAATTATGTAGTCTTCAATAAAATATAATTATATATACAAATTAAGAATATTTATTTTCTAAATTAGTTTCAAAGTTTAATGGCATAAACTCAGCGAGATTGTCGAATAACCTAGTTTTGTTAAAGCCAGTTATAATTGAGCTTATGTCATGTTCACATGGGATCAATAAAATATGTATGTCGGCAGTTAACACAGTGGTTAAGCGAAGCATGTGTGAACTGCAGCAAATGCGTTGTGAAACACTTAGAACTATGCACATAATATAACTGAGATTGAGCCGTTTCATAATATTATATCTGTATAAATATTTTTTCTTGAAGTTTGTATTGGTTATCACTCTTTTTGTAGTTATAGGGAAGGGATTGAATGAAACGAGACTTATTGAAAAGTAATGTCTTTTTATTTCGTGAAACTTCCTGTATGAATTACATGATCAAATTATTTATAGTAGGATATTGTTGATGATATTCTAGCATTTTAACGTCTTTAACAGTATTTAGTTCGTGGGGTTAGAATTTATATAAGGTTTTACTGATATATGACTAAATATTAACAAAAACATCTCTCTTAATATTAATTTTTATTGTTTCACCATTAAATGCTATGTTCGTGCGGCAAATGATAAATCACAGAATATCTCGTGCAATATGGAAAATAAAGTGTTGATTGAGTGATAGGTTGATTTATTATTTGTATGATGCGTGTAGACGGTATATTCTTTTTTTATAAAGTTAAAATCATAATAACAATAATAAATGTAGGTATTTTAGTACAGGTAATTACGTAGTCATAAATTAAGGGCTAATGTCATGATTTTACTTTTATTGCTGTCGTTTAATGGTTAATGGTCGATACCAAGACAAGCTTTACTTCGATTTACTTTCTAATGATGTCATTATCGACGTATGTCTAATAAACTACTGTGCCCCACTACTAAGACCAGTTCAGGATAACAGAATTTTGTAATATAGAATTGTCAATAAATATTATTATTATTACTACTTGTACAAATATAGTAAAACAAGCTTTCCATTTGAGGCTTCATTTAGTTCTTATGATTATGTTCTTTCTCAAGGATCAGGGGGCCAATTCTACTAAATAAATTTTGTTTAAATCGAATCGAAAACGGATCGAAACCGAACGAAACTACAGCTTTAAATAGTTTTTTTATTCTACTAAGTGACAACTGGTATTGTATTGTTTATCACTTTGTAGAATAGGAAACCATTAAAAACTGTAGTTTAGTTCGGTTTCGATACGTTTTCGATTCGATTTAAACAAAATTTATTTCGTAGAATTGGCCCCCTGTTTATCTGTGTAGAAAAAATTGATTCTGTAGTTTAGGTATGCAAACGTAACAGACATAAATACGGTTACTTTGGCATTCATAATATTCGTATGGATAGTTGAAAACATGTGGGTCAAGTGGGCGAAGGAGGTAAATATCCACATAGCTAGTGATTTTCAGATTTTTTTAAATCGCGGAAGAGTCCCCATTTCGGTATCTCTAATGACTTACTAGATATCCATAATTTGTACATTGTGTTCCTTAGATAATTAGATTCGATTGCAAATTTAATAATATTTCTCAGGCTGACTTTAACGTTGACCGTGTAATGTATTGCACCATACTCTTTCTTGGCATAAAAAAAAAACCATAACTTTAACTAGAGAAACTTAGGCGGTTATAGAGGTTGTTCCGTATTGATTCTATGATGTCCTACGCAATATTTTTTCCTCACTCATCATATTCATGTTCCTTAACCCGTAATAAGTTAATTCATTTTAAATTCCTTTTCTATTCCTAGCTCATCCTATTTTGAAACCTTTTAATAAATGTAAGATTTCTGTGTACGGTCTGATCAAAACTATCTTTTTTATCTAATTTATGTTCAAATTAACAAATCTATGTTCATGAGTACTCAGTTGTTTAGTCAACATAAGTCTTTTGTGAGTTACCTGGAATGTGACAATTTTTTCATTGGTAGTATTTATTTAGGTCAATAATAATTAGAAATATTATCAAAGTGCTCTGCGCCTGAGTGGTGGACAATTTGGGACTAGCCGAAAATCGATGTCTGTCAATGAAAAATAAATAGATCGACAAATGCCCAGCGAGAATGCTCAGTTTAATAAAACGATTCAAATTCAACAAACTCAGTTTAATGAAAATAACAAATAATGGGCGTAGAAGAGATAATAAAAACGCGCTGTATCGCTGTCTCATTTTAGCCTATTTTTTGCATGTGCAAGATTGCCTATAATATGAAAGCACCAATCTGTTGCAATGGTGTATTATATTTCATTCTCCCTATTCAAATTAATTCGATTTCATCCACTGGGAAGATCTATGCTCCAGCATGGAAACAGTTTGATGATAAATAAGTAAGTACATATTTAATATAACATGTAGGTAATAATTATTTTTAAAACTTTATATGCATATTTCATTGAATTTTTGAACAAGTTGAATCAGATTGAACAAGTGATAATTTACGAATAACTCAAAGTTATAACGGGAGATGCAAATACTTTGTCCAATGAACGAAGCGCTATTTGTGTTGAGTTAAATATTTTTTTTTATGAACAAA